CATTTCTTGGCCCAAACAGACCCCTCTTTTCGAAACAATCTGTGGGTGTACTTTTTGTGCGCCTCCGCCTGGCGGAGAATTTTCCTTGAATTGGGACACTGCACCCTTAGATCAGGCATCGCCCACGGATATAAATAGATATGACGCAAGGGTCAGAGGTCACAAGTTGAAAGCCCACATGTTTTCGATTTCATTCCCTTATGTGGTTGGTTCCAATTCAGCTGAGTGTTCCCTATAGTAATGAGGGGCACTTTGAAAAAATCTCAGAAAATTCAAAATCATTCTTTTAGTTGATTCAATTCTTGTACAGCAACATTCCTTCCACGCACACACCCATCAACATGTAGTTGTTTGTAACTTTGTTGTTATATGCCAATGCATGATTGTTGACGGTTTATGTTCAACAAGCCCATCTACCCTACCGGACATCAACGGCACCATCCGAACGTGCAGAATGTAGACGGGACGACCCTGGAATATTTTGGCTATTTCCGGAAAATTGGTGGAATTCCTCCAGTCCTGGTCACGTGACATTGGGTGATACCGGACCCTTGATTCGTCTGATAGTAAAAATCATCGGGTCAGGTATCCAGAATAAATAAACTACGGGGAGGTCTTGAAACCAAGACTACTGTCCCGTGTGAGGTGGCGCAGATTCAGCCCTTGCTTTTATCACTGCAACCGTTAAAGGCCGGACAGGGACGGTGACGGGCTTTCGACCAATACGAAAGGAAAAAAACTGTCTAACGTATCTAGAATTGCAATATTTAACGAATACATACAGCGTACAATGTGTCAACGGAACACAACAAAGCGACCTCAGCGCAACGATTAAAAAAAATCATCCCCTTCCTGTCTTCTTTTCATGTCTTTCCTTTGTCGTTTCTTTTCTTAAGTTTAAGCATACAGCATGATGCCAAGGGCAATTCAGCGGCCACATCATGGCGGCAGCAGTGTGATGGCGAAAAAGATCCTTGCTGGTCAAGTTGCAGTAAGAATTACTCCACCACCAATGACTGCTGATCTGGGTCAAGAGAGGGCGCAATTTTATTTATCAACGGCGACTCCTTTTGGTCAGAGCTGCATTTTGTTGGTTCATAAACGACTATGAAATGCACGCTTTACGGACGTGTTGCTCCCATCAAAATGAATGACTTATTTAATTACATATTTGTTGGAGTTATTCATAGCATCCTTAAACTATCAAAAAGAATGTGATCGAATAAAAAAACCATATGATTTTGGACTATCTCTCTACAGGAGTACATAATGACTAAAAGTCTTAAGGTGAAGGGGAATGAAGTTCATAGCACGTACGTGACAATCGCAGATGTGGACATCTTTCAAGTAACCTAAAAAAGTAGAAACCATGAATCAAAAAAGCATGCAGAAAGGAGAGAATACAATGCATTGATCCATAAAATGAGATCTTTGTGGGTTGAGTGGGCTGTGTCAATGAATTCGGATCTTGTCCGAAATAACATTTCCTCCAAACCGTAAGATCCATGGGTTTTGGCAGAGAACTGTTGCGAAGACCTCTCACCAGTCTTTTGTTGCAATCTTAACCTGATGGTATGATGGTGGGTTCAATAATTTCATGTGAATGTCCTCGAGAGGACAGCAGTATGAGGTCCATCTCCTAGCTCGGGGAAATAAAAATTGGGGGGAATCTGTAAACATTTATTTTGTATACTGAAAGTGAATATCAGTACGTGTACTCAGGGAAATTGGAACTTGGCAATAATGTTGTAATTTATTAAGATAATGAACAAAAGCATTTGCAGGGGGGGATCTTGAGTAGGTCTACATGAACCGATTTTTTTTTACCTTCCCTTTATTGGCCCAGTACGTGTTTGCGCCAGTAAATCCTCGGATGGATGGAGGGACGGACCTCCACAGAACCACAGCATATAAAAGAAAGAAATTTAAAGACTTTCATCACCATGGAGGTTTTCCTACCTCCATGGTATACTTATGACCAGGAATATTGTATTTAACTTCGTACTTTGTATTGAAAGCAGTGAAATTATGAAATGTTTTAGATTTTCTACATAACCGTAGCAAGTATGTGTACAAAATAAATACCGCTACTTTTGCTCTTTGCTCATGACATGTTACGAACTGTACAGTATAAATAACGTTGAGCAAAATATGTGTCTCAGCCGTATCGAAAGGGAACACATTGCTGAGGGCCGTGCATCTATAGGTGGTAAGGCTGATTCATTGTTATGGTTATTTCCTAACCATTATCATTACACCTAGACACAATCAAAGTTCACAGGTGCTGGACTCACTTTGAAAGAAAAATTTCATCTGTTATGTCGATCCATTCATCTGTGCAACCTGATTTTCCACGCTCTGGGTGGGCTGGGGTGCGCGCAATTGCCGATCACATATTATACACAAGTCATCGCGGTCTTCGAATGATAATGCCCATTGAATGGTTTTCATCCCAGAGACAATGGGCCCTATGACGTCATGCCGACGAGAAACCACCGCACATCAGTATTATAGGCCTACAGCACCATTACTTGCGCTTTAGAGATCAATCACATTGCTTTGACCTAAAATGGCTATTTAACAGTGAATCGGTCATTGTTACCCATATCATGAATAAAGTGGCAGCTTCTCTTTTCGTTAAAAGAAGTCATATTGGGAGTTCAGTTCCACCGCAAGAATGCTCAGAGTAAAAGAAAATGTGTCAATGAGGGCGGTAATCAAATCTAATTGACGATGTCATAATACGGCTCTCACCCCTTAAGTTTCTGGACCTTACCGCCGTAATGGGGGTAAAGTGAGTTAGATGTCATTCTCAGGAAATGACCAAAGCCATCTGCCTGAAATTCATCGGGACCTTACTCCTGTTCAGATTGGAACGGTTCATTTTTATCATCGATGTTGATCAACATTGTCCATGAAAAAGCAATTCCAAGTCGCTCTCTCTGTCCGACCTCTTCTAATTCACAGTTAAGTGGGCGTCTTCGCCTGGAAATAATGAAATAGTCGTATAATTGCAGAGCTTCAATGTGACTTCATTAAATGGGCTTTTATCGGATGTTCCCGATGGCTTTTTGTCAGTTTGCCAGATAATCTTTATTTACTTTTTACACAATAGATGTTTTAAATTTAACTAAATTTCATAAAAAGCGAAATTGTGATATTCTAAGCTTAAGATAAAAAGCATTATGTCAAAATCGTGAAACTGTTCAGGTTTCGAGACATTACTGACATCATTTGCTTGCAGGTGGCAGCATCCTATCTTGCAAACAAGTGGGTACCTGTGCTCAACTTCTGTGGAAATGTTCCAGATGTGTGCCCTGTGGGCTTATTTTGTTATGTAAGGAGCTTCCCAGAATTTTTATTAATCCTCTGTCTGCTTAAGTTTGTGTCGTTTCAGCACGTTTTTTTTTCTATAGCACGAGTGTACTATCCAGCATAGTTAATGAAATTGTTGATTCAACCTGATGTCCAGAGGGCATAAACGTTTTTTTCCTCAGAGGCTTGGGGCTTTGTTCCACATTTAACACTTTAAAAAAGGTTCTGACATCCTCTTCAAACAGACCTATTCACTCTTTACATATACTCTCTCTTACTTGAAGCACTATATGTGGGGCTGAGATTTAATTCAGCTGTTACCAGCCATAATGCAAGGACTTCTGATGTTCAAGGGTTGAGTCTCTAAAATGGTTTCATTCAAAACGAACATGAACGTGTCAGTTCAACTCATTTGACAGTAAAACGTCAAAGCATTACTGGAGTTAGTTTGACAATCCATGTATTACATCGTTGGTCCAAGATTTCATGTATTACCCAGTTCAAACTTGGCAGGGATGGGGAAAGCGCATGTTGTTTCCACTCGCGAAATCATACATCAAACTATGCACAGTTCACAGATTGTTGTGACGATAGGAGAGGTAATCAAGCGTGCAGCGACCTTCAAGGAGGTGGATTGTAGCGTTTGACCCATCATTTGTTATGCAAATCTTCACTAGAAAAAAGGAACTTCACCTTCCACCTCCCATGATCTAAAAGGAATGACGTATTTGTCTCTCTCTTTTTTGGGGGGGCTTTTTTGCGTGCTGTGGCACGACTCCAAGCATACCCTCGATTTTTTCCAGTGGGCCTAATGGTGTAGCTTTCATGCCGCAACTCATTCGTGACTGTTAGGGTACAGGAAGTACAACTGTGGGGTATTCTTCAATCTCAAGACCTTCATTTCTGTTCAGGTGGACATCAGGTACCCATTAAGATCCAACTTAAAAGTCAAAGCGACAAGGGATTTCTCCGACAAGGTTTGTGTAAACTGTTTTTCCAATCGCATATTCCACATGACTAGATTACGCGTCAATTACGGTCATTCTGGAAAATGTGTCGCGCCAAGGGTTAACATCAATATTCAGCAATTTCATTTCTTGACATTTTGTGCCGCTGCACCCTGCTCAATGAAACTGGAACTCTTGAAGATATATTATCGCTAATGGAATATTCTAATATTGCAAAGTGTGGGAGATTATATCCTGGATGGCTTACATTAATCTTGTTTAGCCATGACTTGTAACAGCTGTCATGAAGGATTACAACGTGGAGTGTTGAGCAAGGGGCGCTGGAAGGCAAATCATAAAAAGGAGTTTTTATTCACCTATTTGTGTCATAAAACTATTTAATTTCGGGTGAGCTACTTTCCCCGATCTCTGTCCCTTTCCTAAAGCGCCATGGACAGAAATAAAAGGTCTCGTTTGTTAGTCTTGACGATGACCCAACTACGGATTTACACCAGGGCTTTTGGCTTTATGAAGTTCAGTGTCAAACGCTTACTTCAGCACCTACAATCCTTACCAAATCTCGAGCGTTGGTATGGTGTTCTAAAGCGGACAGGCAACCGTCGTGTGTGTGAGTTTGAACGTCGCATTTGTGAGTGTTCAGGGCCAATTTCTTGGATCATTAGCATGATTTTTCCCTTGATAAAAAACAAGATTACTAACTAAAATATTAATGTGTTGTATATTGCTTGTGACTGGTGTTCAGCTGATGTTCGCTTATCGGAAAAATGACATGGAGTTTTGGTTGGTAACCTGTTTTTATTAAGGAAAAAAATCAAGCTAATGATCTATGACGCTTTTCCCCTTATTGATGCATGTGCATTTAAAAATAAGAAGGTGAAGCTTTCAGGGAGAAGATTTAATGTTGACGCCTATTATTTGTAAGCATGTGTGTTTTAAAACCTTGCGCAGAGCGACCTCCGTCAGTTATGGACCGCCATTTTCGTAATTTCTTAATTAAATTAATCACTCAGCTTTTACAGTGCCATATATTCTGTGTGGTAATGTAAACAGTTTTTTATCTCTTGAACATAAAGGTTAAAAAGCAGCGTGTTTGAAATGGCCAAATGGCTAGGTGCACGGTTATCAGATCGCTAGACGGTGGGTTCGAATCCCGCTGGTGGCTTTTTATTTTCTTAATGATTATTGTCAGTCAGCAGCTATAAGAGATTCTGATTCACCAGCGTCAAATACGAACAGAGTATCTGAGCCGACCGGATAAGCTCTTCTACCGGTACTGTCGGCGAAGTCCAGGTGAGCCCCTCAGTACGGGAGGTTCGAAACGTATGGCCGAGTCGGCGGCCAGGGCGTAGGGGCTTGTCTTGTTTCCTCCCATGCATGGTCGCTCGAACTCTTTGGGGGGATAAGTGGATTGGCAGGGGGAAGTGTGGTGGGCCGAGACCCCAGAAGAGTCCTACGTGGAAGCCGGTAACTGAGATTCCTTGCGAATTTCCGGAGTCAGTGCACCTGAATGCTTGGTCAATACCGCATAACTTTCTTTCTTCCTCGCACCTCATTTTCTCTACATCCCTCCGGGCGAATAACCCACAAGGCATTTTTCAAGGTTTGAATACAGTAAGGTAAAGGATTGATGATGATTTATTTTTCATTTATAATCTTAATTTTCTAAATTTTCAACAAAGACTGATTTCAAATGTGTTTAGGTCCATTGATCAAAACATAAAAGCAATGGCGTATTAATTTATTGGCACGGCAAAAAGTCGGTCCCTACTTAGTCAAGTATGTCCCTTTTGAACTCAAATTAAAAACTGCTAAATGTGCCCGTCATTTCTCAAACGTTTCTCAAAATCAGATGCAAGTACTAAGCATTCCATATTTCCCGAGTTGCTGTGCATGATGCAACCATATAACGCCCGTCTTTGGAGTGGTCGTAAACCTCTCAAGAAATATTGTGGAAACAAAGCAAAAATTATGTAATTCCAATTTCTGATCATAACCAGATAAAGGGGTGGCCCGTGCACAACCACGAAATAAGCTCTAAAAATGGCACGTGTCCTTCAAAGCCATGAATTAAACTTTAACTGGACTTTCAAAATGTAGTTTTTAACGTGTACTTTAAATGCATTGCTTTTTTGTCGTCAGTAAATTGCCGAAAATAATAGTATCGCAGATACAGGGCGCCATTGAACGAAAGTTCCTGCCCATAATGTGATAAGATGGCCTTTGGTGTTCCGGCCAAATTTCAAAATACTGATCAAACCCAAACGACTTCGGCCACGATTGTAGATTGGAGCTGAGAATGAATCAAGCTTGCACGTGCGAAAGTGCAAAGAGTTTTGATCCTTATGGATTTAATGTCTAAATATTTTTTGTACCAATGAGGAGATGATGATCAAAGTAATCTGCATTTGACAAAACGTCAAATCATCACTAGAAATGTCCAAGTGTCATTTGCATTCTATCGTTGCCCAAGGGTTCCTATTGCACTGTAAAAACTTCCGAGGGAAGGACAATTTGTTTCCAAGTGGGAAATCACACATTTGAGTGTGTCTGGAAAATATACTGTTATCGATGTTTGCAGACGCAAGGGGATTTTCAGGTCCGTGGTTTTTGAAGTGTTTGAGGCCTCATTTGTCATTTAAATCCTCCTTTCAAAAATAGGGACTTTACCTTCTTCCTCCCGTGATCCGATATGAATGTCGTATTCTTATTGCATTCTGCGGCACTGACTCTAAACATAGCATGGGTTTTTCCGGCAAAGGTGTGACTTTCATGTTGCAACATATTCGTGTTTAAGGGTATGGGATGTGCAATTGTAAGGTATTCGTCCATATCAAGACGCTCATCTACCACAGATTCTGTGGTAGATACCTATCAAGTTCCAAGATTGAAGCCAAGGTGACAACGGATTTCATTAACAGGGTTTGTGCAACTTTTCTCCCTGGATGTTATTTTAGTTTATTTGTCATGACCGATTTCCATACTACCAAGTCGCTGAAGGCCATGGTGCCAGAAAAGGCCATTTACTCGTCGAGTGTTAACATGGAATTTTGATAAGTAGACGGCTATGTTGATATTTTTGTGCTTTTTTACCCCTGTCTAATGTAACTGCAACTCTTTGAGGAAAAAATCGATAATGAAACAAGTTAATGTTGCTAAGTGTGGGAGATGGATTTCCTTCAGAAATTACGCTGGGTTTTGGTGACAGACAACTACCAGACAGTATAATAGTAGATTGTACATGTACGCCTATGTGGTCTTGCTAGCAACGGCTGTCATGAAGGATGATGACGTAGACTGTTGAAATAATGGAACGAGACATGGTCAAATGAAAATCATGAATAGGGAATTTATTTGTTCACCTTTTTGTATCACAGAATCAAGTAATCTGAGGTATACTGCTTTCCCTATCTCTTCCTCGTCTCTAGTAAAAGAGGTATACCAGTAAACTACATTTCATGAATTTTCAGACATGTTCCTCGCTCTTCACACGGGTAGTTATATTTTCCTGTATTGTTTCGTATGTGGAATATTTGCTTTGTTACTAAGCATTGTCATCAGAAATGTGATAATTGTGGGCAACTTTAATGTCAGTCCATTGATTTTTCCACTATAGCGCACCATGAACGCAGAGACTTCATTTGTGGAACTGAGCTTAGTACACACTCGTCGCAGCGATTGAACTTTGTTATAGAATCTATAGCGCCAAAAATGTAATCACTAAAACACCATCAACGCACTAATCCCAGCTTCAAATAAATCATCTGAAGAACTTTTTTTTGGTTGCGGGTCGGAAATGTTTTCCGGGGTGGGGTGGGGGGTACTACACGTAGTTGTCACCATTGGCGAAGCCATTTCGTCTCTTTATTTTGTCCTCAACTCTAAAAGAGCCGAGTTATTTTGGCCCATCTCACAGCCGGGAGGGGATGCACCGCAGCGGAAAAAGTACACAGTATGTTCGATTTTTGGAAAAATGGAGTCCAAATTACCGCAAAGAGTTATTCTCAAACTCCTAAAGGCTCGACTCCTGAAAAAAATGCACTGCAGCGATATTGCAAAAAAGGTCGAGGGAGCGGATTTCGCCCCTGGCCCTAAAGTTTAGGATTAAAACAAGCATGCAATATAAGACGGGGTTCTTGGGTCTTCCAACTTTCACATAGGTTCCTAAATGACATAGGCCCCGGATCGCGGGCCTACGCCTCCGCGAAAGCCGCGATAGTAATTTTTAACCTTTCACACTTTTGTGCAAAGACAATTCTCTCAGTTGACTGTGTCTTTTCACTGATAAATTTGTAACAAGGAAGAAAGAAATCAGTAGGGCTCAGTTTTGTCTAAGTGTGCTTAATGGACAACCTCGTTGTTTAGATGGGTAGCAGGCACCGATGTAATTAACGTTTTGCGCATTGGCGAATGCCAGGCTGCGGTCATTATGCCTGGACCGACCTTTGATTCAACTAGCGGGATAGTTCATGGCAGCATGATGTGTGGCGCAGTTTAAGTTTGAGAAAACTACCGAGCTACTAGTACTCCAAACTACTGGAGTACTGCTGATTTATGTACCGAGAGAAGTTGATGCCTCTGTTTGGTACACCAAATCCCATGCAGACACCAACGTAAAGTCTGTGATTATTTGAAAGTCTTCTCTGGAGAAAGCATAACCAAAGTGCACAGAAATTGGGAGAAAAAGAAACTTTCAAACTGTCTCTGTGCGGCTTATGTTTTTGCTACCATGCCCATTCGTATGCATGTGTGAATGCATTTTACGAATTATCAGTCGAAGGTTTATAGGGTGCTCTTATCGTCTCACGTGACCAGATGCTCAACCGCCACCGATGTAGTAAAAGACCAGACGGTATTTCCAAAGCCTTTTGAGTAGACAGAAACGTGAAAATCGTGGAACCAGCACTGAATAAGAATGACAATGATAAACATAATTGACATTGGTAACATTGTGTCATGTTTTATAAACAGTGGTTATTGAAAGTGAAAATGAACCTTACTGTTCAGCTTTACGATATATGACGTACATTATAACAAACGTTTGCCTACAGGTGCCCGATAGAGTAAGGATGGCCAATCTCTGGAAAACCGCTTGGTAATGTGGTACTCTAAAACCTTTCGATCAGAGCCTATTCATATTCTTTTTATTTTGAATAATTTAGTTTCCTAGACTTGTACAAGTCAGTCATCATGCCACAATTGCCTGTCTGTGGAGTTTGGAGTGTCGTGTGTGGATTCTTTGTGACGATAACTACCAGTACATTCGGACCCGCAAAAGCTGGTAAGTTTGTGGATTTTAACAGACTTTAACTCGCATCAAGTAGTAGGCCTACGCTGAATTAATAGCATGCTCGCCCCGTAAGTTACAATGTATTCAGGACTTTAAAAGTCTCGTGGCAGGAATCTTTGTATCATTGAGGACTTGGAAGACAGCCAAAATAACAGGACGGAAACATGAACGAACACGAGAAGAGTCTGTCAACCTAGGCCATTTTAATCACTGATATGCGTGCTTACCAAAAGATCCTGATGACAGCGACTAGGGCCCTAGAGGCTGTCATCAATTAGAACAATTCTGTCGTACAGCTAGTGAAAAAATGCCCTGTTTCAAGATCATGAAATTAAAACGAAGTTGGGATCCGGCAAGCCTCAAAGTAACATATATGGCATTGCAAGTATCAGAAAAAGATGATAGATGGGCTATGGAATATGAGAGCTGAACACAATGGTATGTACTACCCAAATCTTCTTGTGTGGTTGCTATGCAGGAGACTTTGCCATTATTGCAGATATTTACAACGGAACCATTGCTGCAGGAAGCATGGGCAAAGCCCTCGCCGATTTAACGCCCGTTCCACTAAGAGGGGTGATGCAACCAGTGGCCGTTGACTATGACCCCGTGGAGCAAATGGTGTACTGGTCTGATCTGAATACTTTTCCTACTGCAAAGATCTCCAGAGCACATTTGAATGGAACGAGCCAGATGACCCTCGTGGATCAACTGCGTCGTACGTTTGTAGTCCTTGCATTTAAATTTCCTACATTAATGTTTGCTCATTGTTGAGAGGAAATTCCAAAGAGTGAAAAGGTTGAATCCGTAGACTGGAAGGGTAGAAAGCAACACCTTGAAACTCTATCACTCAAGTCATCTTTTTTCCTTCACTTTTAGTAAAGTAAAGTGACTTTATACTCACCTGATGAAGGAAGCTTTACATGTCTTGACATAAAACCGGCAAATTTCTTCTATTTTCAAAAACATTGTGGTCAAGGCGTCGCCTGGGAGCATAGTTTTCTACGATGGAGGAGGGCAAAGCACTCTGCTGGAGCAAATTACGAAGGAGGTCAATTTCGATTTGTTTCCTCGCAAACTGACGACTCTCATCCCCTTTCCTCTTTTTTTAATATTTTTCCTTTGCTCCCTTTTTTGTCTTTTTTCATTTTTTGGAGGGAGGAGGAACACCCCTCCCCCTCCCTGGCGACGCCAGTAAATCCGGCTATATGTGTGAATTCAAGTTAATTCAATCATATCCGATGCAGTTCCAGACGGACTGGCGCTTGATGTTGATGCACGGATCATTTACTGGACGGATGGTATTCTTGGACAAATCGGACGAACTCGTATGGACGGCACTGGCGTTAAAGAAACGGTTGTAACTGGTATAGATCAGCCAAGAACCATCATAACCGACCACGGAAACGGGTAAGTTCAAGTTTCTTGAACAAGCAACTTTATTGCGGAAAGAAAAGTTTTCCTCAGATAAAAAAATTCGTTAGGCCCCCATGAAATCTTGAAATCGGTTGCATCGGGTGTACCCGATGCAACCGATTTCAAGATCTTTTTGCATGTCAAGAAAATTTTGCAATGTACTAGTTTACCCGTTTGGTATCTCAGGTCATTGTCTATGTTAGGGCAAGCTAAATACATCAGGATATGACATATCAAAAGGATTGACAATTTTGTTGACCAAAGAACCATTTTACTGTTTTTGTCACAATGCTCAATTCTACAATTCTACTCAGCAAACAGTCCGAGGGGAAGATCGATCAAGAGAGCCGCCGACGCTAATAAGGTCCAGAACCAGAAGAGATGGACGACCTCAGTGTCCATTCTCTCTATAAACGAACATTTCAGAGCTGCAAAGTACAATTTCATTCCCAGTCATAAACATATTTTGTGTCAGAAAGTCACAAAAGAAAAAGAATTACGAATTCCAATGGTCAGTTTTTCAACGCTTCAGTTTTTCAAACACCCCTAGAGCACGGTTATGGTAAGAGCCATGTGGGTGCTTTTTGGACTCTCGACCAGTAGAAATGGCTAAGCTGTCCATTTACAAATATGCATAAAGAAAAGAAGTTTGAAATTAATCAGCCACTCTGATGTAAAAATATCTGACTTACTGATGGTGACATATTTATTCCAGCTACATCTTCTGGACGGATTGGGGGAATGCGTCCAAAATCGAGAGGGCAGATCTGGATGGAAGCAACAGGATCGCCATTGTTACAGGCAATTTAATATGGCCCAATGGTGTTACAAAAGATGGTAAATATTTTGATGCATTCCAGGGTACAACAACATTTACTTCTTATAACCATATATATAGTTTCCTAATTTCCACATAGCAGGGGGCCACATGGCAAGGTGCCAGGTATGAGGAGCTCATTGTGAAAATCTACTTATGCAGCGGGCATTACAATTTGTGTAGAGTGCATGCAGCTATTGCAGGAGTCTGCAGCAGCCGTATAAAGATGCATCGAAGACTGCCGAAACAAATTACAAGCTAAGAAAATAGAAAATGAGACAGTTGTTCAGAGCAAACTTTGGATCATTTGGAAGGCGCGCCTTCTTTTTGAAAAAGGAGTTGTTTTAACGTAAAAAGTCATCCTTCGAAACAATGAAATCTACCAAACTGAGGAGCACAGGAAACAAAAGTACTCTTTTCCAAGCTGCATTTGGAACATTAAACAGAAACTGTCGAGGTGTTTTTAAAGCAACAATGTCCTCTATGCCGATAGTTTAAGGGCGATATTGGCAATTCAGAGTTTGTTTGAAGGTGCATTGACGGTAATGTGCAGTTTTTGATCGACCTGACCGTGACAATTTTGTTTAAATCCACGGCGTTCAAGTGTTGAAAGAGAGGCGCCAAAATTCAAAATAAATTTGCCGACCACTACTCTTAGCCGTGAAAAAGTATCCGTCTATCTTTTTTCCGCTGATGCTGTTGCCACATATTTCCACTAAATTTTAATGACAGTAACCATGTTCCACAGGTCACATAAGACACACGCTAATTGTTTGATAATTCCATCAAGTTCTTGGTCTCATAACCGTACACTGCGAGTGTCCGTGAGCCCAAAATGCTTTAATCACATTTTCTCGCTTATATACCAACCTTTTTTTGGTAGGAAGAAAGAGTTCTGTTGATCATCATTCATTTCCCTTTCCCGTATTCCAGGTAACATCCTGTATTGGTGTGATGCTAGTTTGGATAAGATTGAGAAAAGCGACCTCTCGGGTAATAATAGAGAGCTTGTGATTGACTTGACTCAATACCAAGGAATACATCCTTTCGATTTGGCCGTAAACGAGGGCTACATCTATTGGACAGACTGGGGATACAGTAACCTCCTCCGTATGGCTGTAGGTGGCCGAGGAGTGCAAAGGTTTGGCCCACTTGTTTTCCAGCGTAGTGGGGGTCTTCACATCCAAGAAGGTTTGCAGAAACGATGCCATAAATATTTGACAAAAAATGTTTAAATTATACGTATTTTAGAAGCTCAAATTTAGGTTAACCGTATGATTTGAAATGTTTCAATTCTTTAGAGCCCAATTACTGTGAAAGTTCCCCCTGCCTTAATGGAGGGACCTGTGTCGATGTCATTAATGGATTTTCCTGTGAATGCCCACCTGGATACCTTGGAAGAATCTGTTATGAAAGTGAGTGTTTTGCTTTAGTTTCTCATGCATTGTGTTTTGCCAAATGTGAAACACAAAAATTCGTATAAAATGTGATGTTGACACAATTAGACAGTTCGATGTTCCGACGCGGAATAGACCATTCGAAACCATAATGATTTTATCTGCAAAAGTCTGTGATCGTGCACGTTATATTCATGTGGCATTTGCAAGTTGAACCAGACTTCCAATTCAATCACAAACATAAACCTTGGTTTCCTACGCATGGCTAGGATCTGGAAAAGAAGGCATACCGGAACGTGATTCACTATTGGCCGCTATCTTTCGAACTTCAGGGCTAGATAATTAAAGCAAAAGGGTTCGATTTACCACAACAAAGCTTTCCTTTCTTTTAGATCCTTGTGGAAGTAGTCCGTGTGCGAACGGCGGCACGTGTACCTCTGGACCAACAGGCAGGTTAAACTGCATGTGCAGCTCCGGTTACAACGGACAAACCTGTTCAAACGGTAAACGCCGTAGTTTTGAGGTTAAAGTCGTAACAATTGGTTATGGTTTTTCCTAACGGATCTCGCTTGTTGTTTCATGCGTTTAGTTATTTCAGCCTTGCTGAACACAAGCACGTGGATTGTTCTTCTTTACAGTCGTCCACTGCATATTGAACTTATCTGAGCATCTAATGGTGGTATCAGGCCAGCGGGCCGTATACCTACCTGGTGACTCCGTTGAGTATAATTGTCCCGATGGATACCAGCTCGTCGGGTCCGCTGTAAGGTTTTGTCGCTCAGACTTCTCTTGGTCCGGACAGCCAGCTGTCTGCATCCCAGAAGGTAAGTCGAAGAGGCTATCACTATAAAGTGACATCTTGAAGAAGCCTACGAACCCGGCAAAAATGGTTAGGACTCGTCTAAACAATAAGCATATCCCTCCACGGGTTCGCAATATTGCTGGAGCACAGACCGCGAAGTGAGACAACAACATTGACCAGGGATGGGGGAGGGGGCCTTCAAGATTTGACGAGGATAGTGTCGCTCAAACAGGTTAGGGACATCTAATAGGTACGTTGTCATGTTATGCTGTAATACCTGATTTTTAAAATACTCTGTCAACCTGCTTGACTCAACCAGCATAGTTAATTTGAAGAACAGGAGACATATTTCTACAAGTGCATATTCATGTCAGAAGAAATGGAGGACCTAATGGGTGCAGGTCTATAGCGCCTGATTCTTCAACACGATCAAAAATAATAGAACTAAGAAACCAGAAATATAGGCTATAATCCAATTTTTTCTAAGAGTAAGTTAAAATGAATCAAGGAGCGGGGAGGGGAGGCTAAATAAAAATACACGGAAAGTAAATGAACTTTCACAAACCTAACCCTCAGCAGTGCAGTCTTATACTGATACTGGTAACATAAAAACCATAACATACCAAGACAACACCAGTCAAAAAAGAAATTCTGAAGTAAAAAATGCCCTAGCTGAAGCAACATGCCAATAAACAATAAAGCCAAGGTAAACAATAAGGGTTGCAATCCAGGGTGGAGAGGGTTATTCTTCTCAAGTTCCCAATCTGAAATAAATTAATTCGATGCAAGATTAATTCAATGTATGGTCAGAATCAGGGGCCCTTGGTGAGGCCATACAAGGAATTAGAGAAATAAATAAACTGCCAAGCACTGCTGTTGTACACCCGAGTCACAAGTCGGTTGCAGAATCAGTTTTTCTTGTCATTTGAGACTCTAGGGGCATACGCGATACCAAGCGATTTAGTCGAAATTGACGGCTTTTTTTGCTGAAATGATCCTCTCTTGTTGTCTATTATTGGATTGCTTATTCTGTTTATTGGTTTCGGCCATTCTTCACGTTCCTTGAAGGGGTGATCAGTCCTCTATGTTGACATCTCTACAGCGTGGAAAACCAGTTGAATGTTTTAAAACTTGGTTTTCTTCAGTGCATTTTGTATTGAATAGGAATATTTGTATTAATAGGAATGTGTACCAGAGCTGTTTATAGTGAAAGTTGCGACGATGCTTCCGTTAGATTGTTGGACCAAAAATGGTGGATCATGCGTCAGTGCACATGGACAGTGAGCACATTTGCTGTATGTTTCACTTAACACATATGAGCAGCAGTTTTGGTTCCACAATCTGAAGTTGGCGCTACTTTCTCTCACTATATTCAGCTCTATAGTATGTGGGCCTGCTATCTTAGAGCGCCCTCGCTCTATCTTGGATAAGGCCATCCATTCTGTGAAATAACACACTTCACATGCTTATACGGGAGCCTGTAGCTAACGATCGTACCCTCGGACGCACGCAAACTTCTTTTCAGTTGCCCACTGCATGCTAAACCAGTCCCATGATGTGATAGTGGTATCAGGCCAGAAAGATGTTTTCCTTCCTGGTGACTCGGTTGAGTATGGGTGCTCGGACGGATATAATCTCAGAGGGTCAGCTATGAGGTTTTGTCGGTGGGACTTGTCATGGTCTGGTCAGCCAGCTGAGTGCACCCGAGAAGGTCACTGGGATAGGGGACCACTGTAAAAAAAAACTAGCCAACCAGAAACATGTTCTTGAGACATCGTGTCAATTGATCCAATCATACCATGGTGTGCTATTTTGTATTTCCTTAAAGTCAGAGTGTAGGCAGAACATCCACAGTTTAGCCAAATCAATAACAAGAGAAAATTGAGTACAAATTCCTCTCGAATTTAGAAAAAATGAAGGACTCCCATTAAACGGCTTTAGGGCCAGCTGGCTACGATGGAGAAACGTGTGCAGTCGGTAAACATGTTACATGAAATGCCCATTAGCTATTTGAAGCCATCATTTTTCTTTTTTGTTTTAAATTCGCCTACTGCATGATATAAATCCATTACCCTCCACGGTAATAGTATATGTTTTCCGTAATAGTTTTTGCTTGCCCTTGTCAGATTTTCAATAATTTCATCCACATTTACTAATTAAATGCATTGTTTTTCAATGGGCCACTGCCGGTTTAACCAGTCCGATGGTCTGATAGTGGTATCAGACCAGCAGGCTCTCTATCTTCCCGGCGACTTTATTGAATACGACTGCCCAGACGGGTATTATCTTAGCGGGTCAGATGTGAGATATTGTCAGTCGGACTTGTCATGGTCTGACCAGCCAGCTGAGTGCATCCCAGAAGGTAACGGGGTTGGAAAGACCAATGCGAAAAAAAAGTTGCAAAGAGGTGTAGACTACTGCATGATCTCTTGTAACCAAGAAGCAGTTGGATGCTTCTATATGCTTCCATTCATATTACGCTTGACTAAGTTTGGCTTGGACTCAAGCCATTTAAATCATTATGAAAACGTCTGCATTTGACAGCACTTTCCTTAGAGTATGACATGTAGATTTTGAAAAGCACAGGTTTTGCTTCAAAATGTTTTACGGGTTATCTGCCGAGTGCATAAATAAAATGGGGCGGATGACGTATTTTTCAACCTTTGATGGGGGTCACACCATGTGTACAGTCTATGTGCACCGAACTAGCTTATTTTTCCTGGCTGGTGAAAATATTTCTGCACAAAGAGAAGATATTGTCTTCTGGTGATGATCTCTCACGTGTGATTTCTTTAACACCTTTGTAACGTCCAGTCAGTGGTTGCCAACCCCCGGCTACTTTTGGTCATGTGACTTTGGTGGAATCAGACCAAGCCTCGTTTCAAGCAGGCCAGGAGGCAACGTTCATCTGTGATAATGACTACCTTGTCGAGGGCTCCGGCGATCACTCTGCCACGCGTGTGTGTCGTGCAGACGGCACTTGGTCCGGCGATCAGGTTGTGTGTTCACCTGCAGGGACCCCTCCGGGTTCGTTGCAAGCTTGTCAATTTTCAATGGAAATTTTTAGTTTGGAGATGCTTTTTTATTAAAACTCATTGTATTTTGTCCTTTTCACTACCTTGTTCAGGCCTAAGGCATAGATACTTGAGTTATGGACATGTTATCAGTATTTACGTTCTGTTGTTCATAGTTACTTGAAGTAATTTATGAAGCAGTGTCATGTTCCTGGTTTAACAACCGAAATTAATCGGATTGGCATCTTATATTTTATTCCAGAGAAAAGCTATGCAGGCGCGATTGCAGGCGGAGTGGGCAGTGGCATCTTGCTGATCCTGTTTCTTTTCGTTGTTCTGGTCCTAATCAAAAGGTAACAGTCTTTGTTGATTTCTTTAGTTCCAACACCACCGCAAACTTGACAGAGAACGGTAAATGAAGTGAACTGAGCCTAGGAAACTGATGTGATATAAGTCGAACTGTGAATGCAAGATTAGTGTCCGTCTTAACTGAAGTTATTCTCCTGTTTGACAAAACAGAAGGAAAACACAAGGCGATGGAGTCAGAGTTGTACAGCCTCCAGACGTATCGAACCTGATCGGTGTAGACAAAACATTCCAACGGCAAGCACCTCCTCAAAGCAACATCTTCCATATTTACGAGGAGCCTAACTTCGGTCAAAACATGCAACCCACCAATCAACCGCCACAAAACAATAATCAACCTCATACTTATTTGGAAGTAATTTAATTAATCTCGCATATTTGACTGTATGTCTGTATGACTGTTGTTCCTAAAGGATATAGAGCTGAATTTATTCTAAATATCTGTCAGGAGTTGCTGTTATTTCACGTCCTTGTCCTGTACAAACACCTTTAATCCGGGAATCGCTCAGAGACTCTATCATTCCTGAGAAACTTGACATTCTAGAGAATCCTCATTGAAGTGTATACAAACTTGGTCCCTATTTATTTAACAATTTTGGCTGCTGCTTTATGGTTGGTAACCAATTGCTATCACTTTTTCATCCCTTTGTCATCAAAGGTGGAACTTTAAACTTGTTGATTTTTCCAAAAATCAAAATGAATGTTATCTGGGTAAGAACTGCACATTTTGATAGTTAGGTCTAATACAAATGAAAGGTATTTTTTTCTCCCGAAGGAGGAATTTTTCTAGAGATAAGTGTTTCCGTTTTTTAAAAAAAAAATTGATGCTCAATATTCCAAGTGTTTGGTATACACATCATACTTAATTGTAAATAGGCCAAATGTGCAAAGCACATCAAGTTTTTCAAAAACTTGTGTCAAAAGTGATGCTGCACATGTTTGTATTTTGTGTGCTGATGTCCTCGATTGAATCGGTTTCAAATCGTCACTGCTTCGTGAAGTCTCGAACTGCAAGTGCCGATGTGGGAATGCTCTTTAGACTATTTGCCACATTGAAAAAAAAAAACTCCGATGAAGGTGCCCCTGACTCCATTATTAATCCAAGAAAGATACTTTACACATATAGCCTAAATGGGTAGTGTGTTTTTTGTTTTAGCCATTCAGTTGTTTTACACAGGCCTTTTGTCACCTGCTCGGCTTTTATTTCAAAGCTATCCCTGAATACGGTAGCTTGCTGTTATTTTGACACGAAATGGGGGCTTTTCTATGTCAAGGCGATGAAAATGTTGCCGACTAAGCGTTGAGGATAACTGATCAGAAGAGTAGTGACTGTCGGAGTTGTAATAGTATGCAGGATTTTTCCCTATGTGGTCTGAGCTCCGTTATATTGCCACATGTGTGCCCGGACCAGTAACATCAGTGAAGGGTTGCGCTGAAACCACTAAGAGCAGTTGAAGAAACCCAATACCTGCAAAGGTATGCGGTAACGGTAATATGGATGCAGTCTTATTTTGTTACTGCTCGACGTTAGTTTACCAGTGTACTTTGGAGCTCTTTGAATAACAAATTGCATCCTTTTAGTAACTCAGAAGCAGGGAATAACTATTTCTCCAACGAAAAAGTTTAAAAACCTCAACTTTATCTAGAAAATTATCAGATCTGTCAAACTGTTATACAGCACCATGAAGTTAATATGTATTTTGTCAATATAACATACGTAATATTTTTCATTATATATTTCTCATTTGGAAGATGTAACTTCCGCCTACATCTCAACATCATAAAACTACCACAAATAGATATAGCAGTATCTAAATCATTATAAATGAAATCAATTCTGCGACTCATTTGATGTCATTGAAATCTCTTCAATTGTAAACTAATGCACTTATATTATTATGCACGCTTGATGGATCTTACTCAGAATTACTGATACTATCCCCTGACGTTATCTATTAATGTTTCAGATCTGTTTGATTTATTATGAAATTTTCATTTGTTACAAAAACCACCATTTTAAATTGTACGCAATTACATTGTATGTTTTACATGTATATAATTATAAACCTTTCTTATCCATTTTATCCTCATGGGAAAGCCACGAATACAAAATTGCAGTGTCATAAATCGTTTTATTTAATGCCATTAAAAGCTCCTTAAATTAAAAATTGGTCTTTGTGTTAATTGTAAACATGTTACCGTTTAGAATCAAACAACGTTTTGGAAATAAACCTGTTTTGATGTTCAGAAAGCGTTACCACCTGATAAACGTGATTTTATCTATTGTTATTAACAAGTTTGTAAATCTGTCTAAATTTATTTACACATCAACACGTACATATTCTTTTAAAAAAATTAACATCACAACGTGTTTAGCTTTGGATGATTAACACCACATTACGTTCATTAAGTGTTACCAGGAAGGTTTTAAATCATTAACACATGCATGTTTTTACAGTGAATCGTACTGCGCTTCATTATGTATGTCTATCTATAGAGTGATATTGTTTATTAGTAAAATCCCAAACTGTTTCTTCTTCGCGACTTCTCATGTATAGTAAGCATCCTCTGCTTGGGCCTTCGATAAAGTACTTAATTCGAACTCTAAAGAGTTCTCAGTGGGTGTTTTGTAACGGTCTGACTTTCAAAGCCTACTTTGGGCCTTCTGTATCTGGGGGTTGGAACCCACAAAATAACCATGAGTCTCGTGTATCTTTCTGTTAGAATACAGAGTTTTGACTCCTGCTGAGAACTGTCGCTGTGATCATACCTATTCCTTACTGTCACAAAGTGTTGGAAAGTCAAATAAATTTATTGGACCTCTCTCTTACACTTGCTTTTTCTTGACTTAATTATTCCCTCCCCCATTCCAGAATGATTTAGCCCTGAGTGTGGCCTGGTGTACAATCTTTTGACATGATAATGGTTATATGCTAATTAAGACATGGCCCAGTAGTCTTGTTTGAATTCCTAGGTGTGGTGTAATTTGTGTGTAGTGAAGTCACTACAGCATTTGCCTTCAAAGGGTGTAGTCGCTGTACTCCTGTGTGGAGTGGTACTGTGTGTACCTTGGGCGTGGCCCATAGTGTAAAGCCAGTTAA